TAGCTTTTGAAAAATTATCATCTTTTATGTCCCATATTTTTAGTGATAATGAAAAGTCAAAAGTAGAAGCTGAAATAAGATTATGAAGACTGAAATAAGGTAAAGAGTGATATTGATATCACCAAAGAAATGCTCTACACATCTGATGAAAGTGGAAATCAAGTCAAGTATACAATTGATAAATATTGGTCTAAAGTTTTTAATTTAAAAGATGATTTCACAAATGATTATAAGTATCCTACATTGGCTAAATTGGTCAAAGCCTGGCTTAGCTGCTTCCATGGCCCATTAGTGGAAAGTGCATTCAACTTAATGGATACACTTGTCACTGACTATAGAACCTCTCTTAAGATTGATTCCCTAGATGCAGTGCAGACTATTAAATATGATTTAATGGCTTCTAAAGAAACCTCATGTGAAAAATATGGCTCAAAAAATCCAATGACTGATCCAATTCACAAAGATCTCTTACTGAATATGAACAGAAGTTGGAAAACATATCAAGAGGACTTAAAAACATGTATTTCAGATGAGTCACCTATAAAAGTCTCTGAAAAACCTCTACATTAGCAGAAAAGCAAACTGCTTCTACCTCTGCATGTGCAGTTCTCGAGGAAATTTCTTCAACTGTAAATGAGGAAAATAAAAGTCAACCTTCCTGCAATTATGAAGTTCACCACAAAAGAAAGACAAGACCACAAACATCAGAAAATAAAAAAAAAGCAGCAGAAATTAGATAATTTTTTTTTAAAGAATTAATTCAGGTAGTTTAAAATATTTACATAAAATGTAGTAGTTTATATGTTTGAAAATTTATGGTTATTAATTTTGCAAAAAAAGTAATTCATTGAACTTTTATAATTAGGTCATTCAATACTTCATAATTGTAATTTTTCATTTCTCTCCCCCCCTTCTCGAAACTCCAAAATGTCGGTTAGTAAGTCCGTAAAAGTTTCAGGGGATTTTTTAGGGTCCCACAAACACCCCTGTATATCTTTAAATTATAATGTTTTTAAAATGTAGGGTTATGAAAACTATGTCAGTGCTTGCATTGTTATAGTATTCTATATTAAGAATTAGTCAACTTTTTATATAAACCAACAGATTTTTAACATCTGAGATAAGTATGAGTAGTGTGCTCTCAAAATTTTTTATCGCTTAATATTCAAATTTGGCATCTTCGCTTATTTGTTATCTGATGAAAGGTTTTTACTTGTTTCATTCTCGTTATTCTCCATAATACAAATGAAATAGTTAAAATTATCTTTCAAAAAATTAGCAAAAATATACAAATTTTATTCAGCTTTATTTTCCTAAAATAAACACTTGCATTTATGCTGGAAATAAAGCAAAGATAGCAAATTTTCGTTATTTCATATAGCCCACCAGAGGCCGAGCGGTTAAGACACTGAACACTGGTAGTTCGGTCCGAGGTTCGAATCCTGTGAATGGGCTGGCTGCATGGGCGTTTTCATGGTTTTTCCCATGTGTAACGTGTATACGAGCCAGTTTCCCTTAGAAAGTCCTCCACGAAGGCATCCCTTCCCTTAGGCAGATAGCCGTAATTAAATAAACCAAACCAAAACCATTATTGATCTTCATCAGTAACTAATAATATATATGTAAAACAATAATAATAATTCATAATAAATTCTCCTGGTCAAAAGACAAAAAAAAAAAAAAAAAGTTAAAGTGAGACATTGAAATCAAATTATGAGCCATACTGTGCACTTTTATAACAACTTTTCCATATTAAGGAACAAGTAGTACAACAAATTATACATGGCAGTAGATAAAAAAAATAAGTTGCATTTTTTGTTAAATTTTTATAAGACATTAGAATAAAAATATACAAATTGCACCCACACAGAAAAATAATCTTAGTTGTTAAAACTATAGTGTTCTGAAATTATAAGTTTTATAGTAATTAATGTATGCTAATTTTTTCAAATAAATGTATATTTGTGTGCTGAAACAGCTTAAATTAATAATACCATATATATGTTTTTTCAAATAAATGTGTGTGCTGAAATAGCTTTAATGAATAACACCGTATTCATTAAGCTATTTAATTTGAATATAAAAAGTTTAAGGGCTATATACAGAAGTCACGTAATATATTTTTCTTATTTATAATTGAACTAAAGAACAAAATAAGGAAAAGATCATTACAAACCTTGTTTTTTATGGAACTCTAAGTTTCATACATTTTATCATGTTATTATAATTATGGCGAGTCTTTAATCTTAATCTTAAAGTGACTTAAAACTAACTTAAAAGTGAGATCTTAAATCTCCTGTGGTGAGAAACAGTTCTAGACATCCTACTTCACTGAATTTAATATTTTTTTCACATTACGTTATGAATGCATATTCTGTGTTTGCTTAAAATTGATGACGAATATGGCGTAACTTTAGCGACGGTATCTTTGTGCATACGTTTATGTGCTTTTAAATATCTCATCACATAGAAAGATGCACTGCAAGATTTGCATTATGTTTAAATATCTATATAATATGGATATGTTTAAATATCCATCTCAGTAATAAAAGCAAAAAGAAAGAAAGCGAAGTGCAAGCTCTTTGATTTAAACAAACTGCTAACAATTGACGAGATACGCAGTTGGAGGAGAACTAGAAATAGAGCCAAAAACGTTTCAGGACTGTCATGTGATATAGTCAATGACAGTAAAGATAAGCATTTTACGTTATCTATCTTGAGATGCCTGTTGCAGCATGGCTCTAGAAACTTCTGGATGAATTGGTCACAGGGCTTCGAAAATAGGTTTTCGTGTCATAACGAACTTTGCATTTATCTTGCATAACGCATCCTGCAGAGTATAAATACGGGTCTGAGAACAAGAGAGTTTGCTTGTGAATCAGGTGCCAGACTTTGCAGTTAGCTGAATTACAAGTTAGTGTTTATCCTGAGAGAGTGATTTAGGAATCTGAGAAGTGATCCTTGATTTGTTTTCAGCCATTTTTGTTCTGTGTGTAATAGTATTGTGCCTATTCTCCTAATAAATTGTTCATACCATCCTGCTTATCTGGACTCATTATTTAAAGAAACATCAACAATCCTATCACCTAACTGGGCAATGATTACGTATATGATAAATGTGTAATTCACATTTACAGTAGAATAGTTATTATAAAACATGACTTTATAAATAGATTTAATATATGTGTAGATTAAGTATAGGATAAATGCATAGCTTAGATATAGTAGAATCTAAGCTATGCATTTATAGAACAGTAGAACAGTTATAACAATTTTGTTAAATTTATAATAAGATACATTATTAAATTAAAATAAGACATCCAGATTAGTTACATAAAAATCAAATAATTTGTTATAAATACACAAATTTTAAAAATACTTAAATAGCATAATTTTCTTAAACATTATTTAGTGACTTTTCTTTTAAACTTTTGGCATTCAATTCACTGCAATACAAATGATCATAGCTGGGATCTGAATTAACAATTAATTGATTTAATAAAATAGGTTTGGTATTATTTTTTTCTGCTGTTGAAGGATTTCCAAACTGTACTTTTTTACACACTTTTCGTTTTTTAACTGAATAAAATCTCTTTTGGGGAACAATTTTTTTATTTGTTGGTTCTTTTGAAATTGAAGCATGTGCTTTATCTAACAAAGGAACTTCTAATAAATGTTCAATTGCATTTAAATGCTTTTTTATTTGTGTAGCAAGATTAATGTCCATATTTTCAATGCAGTTTAATTTTTCAGAAATTGAAAATGAAGATTGAATAAGTTCACTAATGCATGTTTTACTTACTGTTAAAGATTCATAATTATTCCTAGTAGGTATTCTGTTTAGAGGGCCTATATAAGGTTCTGTCTTTTTTTCAGACATGATTACAAAATGTATATGTTTACACATATTATTTAAAATAGAATAATCATGGCATGTACATTTATAAGCTTTTAAACAGCATGAACAAAGTCTACAAGTTATGAGGCATAAATCATTACAAACATGATCTCTGATAATTTTATAAAAATTTTCTCCCAGTTCTGATGAAACTTCCCATACATCATCTTTTTTTACACAGTTAGCATTTAAAAGCTCAGCAGCTTTATGACGTTGAAATGTTTTTGTTGTCTTCTTTGTTATTTTTCCTTTCTGATATTTTATGTAAGTGTCAAACTTTTGATCATTGACAAGATTAATTAACTCGATGATACATTTATCAACCCGTTTGGTTTTCTTCCCATCTAAATAAATATATTTTAATTTCCGATGAAATGTTTCAACATACATATTGGTGTTGATTTTAGCCCCTTTTCTGAAACAGTATGCCCACATTTTGGCTCTTTCAAAATAGTATGTCATAAAATATTTATGGAATTCTCGCGTGTCTTCATCTTCACATAGTTGCTCAGAAAATGTTTCTAACATTTTGTTGAACATTTCTTCATCTAATTCATACATTAAAGTTTTTAAAGTTTTGTACACTGCTTGTCTTTTATGTTTTGGCACAGAATTCAAATGACCTTTCCATGCTCTGTCCACATGCCAAGCACATAATAATTTTTGGCAAGAACCAAATGTATGCTCCCATGCATTATAGAACATGGGAGCATCATCGCTCATGAAAACCTTTGGCTTGATATCAATGATCTTTTTGATGCAGTTAAAAAAGTTTACCAAAATTTTTTCTGATACTGTTGATGATATTAAGAAAGCAACTGGTATGCCCTCTTCATACTTATCAACGACAAGCAATGTTACAAGTTCAAATCCATAAGCAGAAATTCCATGTGTAGAATCAATACAGATTCTATCATTACCAAATTCTATCAACATTTTTTTTTGAAATTCTGTCATTATTGCTAACATGAAATCATTTTCGTTTACATTTGCATATTTTTCTCCTTGACGTTTATACATCAGAACGGGGTTGAATTCCATTTGCGACATCGTATTAACCCAGGACCAAACACTTGTCTCATCATCTGTTAAAATTAATCCTTTAGAATTTAGAATTAATGCTCAGACCAAAATCCCTCTTAATGTTATGCAGGTCTTTTCTCGTTATTAACTGTTTTGTTTCAATATCATCTCTCGAAGAGAATCTTGCATCTTGCAAAATTCGTTTCTCTTCCACCCCCTGCAATAATTTACCTGAAATAATTTAAAAAGATAATTAGGAGATAAAAATTATATATACTATAAGCAAAATAAAGTTTTTCATTTATATGAACTTGAAAAGAAAATTTTATATTATTTTATACCTACTAAATATGAATTCCATGCAAACAATGGTATGATATTAGAATATCAGCTTGCAACTGAAAATTTTTTTTTAATGAACATTACAATCATTGCCCTAATCAATTCTTTCAACAATATATAAAATAGTAAGTGTTTTGAAATTTGAACATCAACTTAAGGAGTACAGCAACTGAGACCAATATTTATCCAGCGCTTTTTGCATTTCTGCCTTATAAGACACAAGCAACGTAAGTTGCAATGTTTCAGGAAGTGAAATGTTGGTACCCTAAGTAGAAGCCGGACATTATAAAATTTGATTTTGAAGCCGCAGCCATCAATAGCTGTATGTTAGAATTTCCCAGTTCGACTATATTCGGTTGTAACTTTCATTTTAATCAATGTTTGTGACATAAGATGAATGGGGAGAAATGGGTGTAATAAAGGAATATAAAGAGAACGAAGATATAAGACATGTCTGTAGAATGATTTCTGCCTTAGCTTACTTGCCAATAGAACATGTAGATGATACTTAGAGCATTGTATAGGAAAAAGCTTTTAGCATTGACAAACTTACCACATTCATTGATTCTTTTGTCGAGTAGTGAATGGAAAATCAAAATATGCCCATTAAAATACGGAATGTACATGGACAGCATCATAAGACAAATAATTCTGTTGAAAGGTGGAATTCTAAATTAAACACAATCACTGGCAGAAACCAGCCTATTGTGCACTTATTAGTTAAAATACTAAAAGAAGAAACACAAAAAAGTGTCTTTTAATTTGAAAGCCAGAGAATTAGGCGACCCTGAAATAACAAGGAAAAAAGCATATGTAAAATTGGATGATGAAAGAATTAAAAACATCCTAAAAGAATTCGAAACATCAAACAATTTAGAAAAATGTCTAAAATCTTTAAGTTTTGTAACTAGGTTGGACTAAATTGTAAATTATATTTATGCCTTTATAATAAAGGATAGCTAGTATTTATTTACTAGTATCTGTTTTGTATATTTTACTTCTAATATTTATTTTTACTTACATTAATGCAGCTAATTAATTTTATGGTAACTGCACCTGTTCTAATATTTGACTCTAAAATACAGTTTTCCACAAAATCCCTGAAATTTTTATTTTTATTACATTTTATATTTACACAAAAGTTTTTATTTTTATTACATTTCGCTATGTTTAAAATGCATTCGCACTATAATATCATAACAATTTAAATACATATAAATAATTAAATATGATTGGCAAAAATGTATTTATCATTGTAATTCGATAATCGAGTGCAAAAACAGAAACATCGGTAAAAGAGATTTGCCACTTAAAATACTGTTTTAAATTATATTTGCAATTTTTAAAAGTATTTATTTACTTATTTATCTGCACCCTTTATCTGTTCTAAGATGGGGAAAAGATGTGCAGCTCTAACCACGATGAGTTTCGAAGTGTCTGCTCTGATCGCGAAATTGTACGTGTCCGCTCTGGCAACGTCCGGTGTAGCCACACCACCTGTTCACAAATGTGACAATAGATTACTGGCGAAAACTCTAAACTGACTATTAGCTCATTAGTATAATATAGTTACTGAAAAATGTAAATATCATGACAGATGTATCTTATATACTAAAAACTAATGGAATAAAAAAAGTATCTTTAAATTTACAAATATGCCTATACAGTAGATTAGTAAGAAATATGATACTTAATTTAATAATAAGAAAAACAATTGTTACAAATCTCAGGTTACTTAAATATAGATAATTAATCACTTTTATATAAATATTTAATATGCTGTTCATAAATACAACAAGAGAAAACAATTTACCATAATTTTAAATCAGGCAAAATATTAATCTTAGTTTCATCTAGATTTTGAATCAAACTTCAGCATTTTCAAGGTCCCTCTTCTTCAAGAGAATTATCCAAATTTATATTAAAAGCAGTTGACAGAGAAACACAAACATTGAACCATTCAGATAAAACAGTAATGAAATATAACAAATTAAGATATTAGAATTATAAATGTGTTAATTCCTTCATAACACATTTAGAATTATAATATCTTGGTTTTACATGCTTCATTATTATTTTCCACAGCAGACAGTGTTACGTTCATCTTTACTTTGCTCTACCCACTCCTTCCATTTTGCAAAAGTTTTGTACTCCTGAAGAGATACCTGTGTCTGATTGTCCTCAAAGCTGATAATTTTATTTAAAATCTATGCAAATTAAGTCTGCTGTTAAGCCTAATTTTAAATTTCACACACTCGCGTGTTTCTCTCCCAATCTGAATTTTCCATGAATGATTTTCGTTATCAACTTCATTAATATTAAAATTCATTCACTTTTGGAATTTTGAACCACCTGTATATTAATGACAGCTAGAAAGGCTCCAACTGCATAAGTAATTATAGTTTTATTTAAGAGAAATTAATACAATCAAAATACGGTCTAACACATAACTTGCCTGCTATACTTTGCTTTTCTTGTTTAGGAATAGGGAGATGACAAAGGGATTTTTCATGCTTGTAATGTTCTTTAAAATATACAGCTTCAAAACGATTGCCAAAATCTTTTAGTATGACAGTAGCTGTGCAAGAGAAACCTGTTTTGGAAGTCCCTTGTGCTTTTAGCTGTCTTTCACCTTTGCCTTTTGCTTTGTATGTCCCACTTCTATTACAGCAAAACAGCGTCCTGGTGTAATTTTTATGTTTCTGCCCAGATGAATCTACCACAAAATGAGTCTTTGTTTTTCTTTCTTCATCCGATAGCCATGAATAAAAGTCTAATAAATAAATAAATGTATAAATTTTCATAATAAGGGCATCTGATTAGTAAATAAAAATATGCAGATTGCAGCCACACAGAAAAATAATCTTAATTGTTAAAACTATAGTGTTCTGAAATTATATGTTTCAAAGTAATTAATTTGTTAATTTTTTCAAATAAATGCATATTTGTGTGCTGAAACAGCTTAAATTAATAATACCATATATATGGTGTTTCTTCAAATAAATGTATTGCTGAACTAGCTTTAATGAAGCTATTTAATTTACAAAAGTTATTTAATTTTAATGTAAAAAGATTAAGGGCTATATACAGAAGTTACGCAATATACTTTGCTTATTTATAATTGAACTAGGAAAACAAAATAATAAAAAGTTCATTGCATACCTTGCTTTTTTTTTTTAAACTCCAGTTTTATACATTTGGTCATATTGCTGTAATTATGGCAAGTCTCTAAGTGAGATCTTAAATCTCCTGTAGTAGGAAATAGTTCCCGGCATTCGTCTTCGCCGCATTTAATATTACTTCGCCTTATATTATGGATACGTATCCTATGTTTAGCTAAAGAATTTTTTGTACAAAATTGCTTCGTACAATACGTACACGAAAATGGTGCAACTTTATTATTTAAATTCGTGTATTCTTTGTGCATGCGCTTTCAAATATCTTTTCGCATAAAAAGATGAACTGCAAGATTTACATTTAAACATATCCATTTTGATAATAATAAAAAAAAAAAAAAAAAAAAAAAAGCAATATCCTTGATTAACAGGAGGTTAGAATACAGAGATGCGCTTGCTTCGCAAAGAGAGGAAGCGGGGGAACAAAGCACCCGTGAGGGCAAAAACGCTTCCCTTACATGTGAATGAGTTAAGCACTGTTTGAGTTGGTGTTTTTTGATTTCTATGTGAAGACGTGAGAGGGTTATAAGTACTGAATGGTTACATTGAAATAATGTCTACATTTCGGATTTCATTTCCATATAAAAGAATGTTTTTTAACATGCATAAATAAGTAGAATAATTGAAATGTGCGTTTGAAAAGCCGTCAGAAAAGAGTTTGAGTATTTTCTCGGTGTGACGTGCGCGAAGAAACATCTATAATTCTCAGATTTTCTTCAATTAATGGTTTGAGTATTATACTCGTAATTAACTGAGTTGTAAAAGCAAAACGGTAAGTAAACAAGGAAGGGGGAGTGGTCAGCTCATCGTGGAAAAGAAAACGCGTTATTTTAAAGGTGTGATCATATTACATTACAAGTCATATTTTATGTATTTAATTTTATTTTCTGTTCAAGTAAATATTTAATAACAGGATTTAATTGGGGGTGAAATTGTGGGAGTTTTAAAAATAACAATGCAGAATTTAATATTATTTTTTATCATTGTTCATGCAATTTAATATTTTTTTCAAAACGTAAGTAGTATTTCTAACATGGAAAATTGAGAATTATACCTGTATATATTTAGAATAACTAAAATATAATCAATTAATGGTTTGAGTATTTATTTATTTATTTTCACAATACCTTTATTGCTAGCATTCATTAATGACAGCATGTAATTACATAATGCATTTCTCATTTAACTCATTTTAATGGAATCAGTCCCTTTGTACATATATTTTCCCTCTGCATATCCTGATAATCATTAGAATTGATACAATTATCAGCACTTGCAGCCGTTTCCTTGGATATGTTTTAAACATGCACAGCAAATTTTTATCTAACTTTGAGCAAAGTATAATTAAATAAATGATAGTATATATGTTAAAAGAATATTTTACCTGTGAAATGTAATACCGGATCCTGCTGTTCTTCTATTTGTACAGCCGAAAGCGACGCAGGAATTTACCATTTTGGCAGGAATAAAAATTGCTTCTCGGAACAATATTGCAGCCGTCTACAAGATGATAGAAATGTAGAAATAAAATGAAATGGCGGGAAAAAGTGAAGGAAAAAGCGCGCGAAGAATCCACGGTCTTTAATTTACGAAGCTGGGTGTGGCTAGGTTCTGCCTCATTGGCTGAAGAGCTCGTCAATCTTTCTAAAGCCACGACTACTAAGGGCATGCTTTCCCCCACTTTTTGGCTTCACTTGGACTGCGCGCAGGGCATCTCCATGTATTCTAACCTCCTTGATTTAAACAAACCGCTAACAATTGGCGAGAAACACAATTGCCGTTGGCGAAAAACCAGAAATAGCGCCTAAAACGTTTCGGGAGTGTCACGTGGTATACAGCCAATGACAGTGAAGATGAGCATTTTCCTCTTCTGGTCTTGAGACGCCTGTTTTCGACACACGACAGTTCCATAGAAATTGAAAAAGGGGACACTCTCGCATGAAAGAAACATTCATAGTGTAATGGATAATAGCAATTTGTATAGTTTACTGACATTTACGCAAAAATCACATCTTGGTTATTTTTCGATAACTAACAACAGCGATTTTGATTATGAATTTGTTTTATAAAATTCTAAGCTGTTGCACTACAAAAATATAGATTTTAAGAAAATTGCTAAAAGAGATCTGCCAAAATTTATTTTCTAGAAGATTTGAAAAGTTTGAAACTTGATGGCTAAATGTAAATATAAAATTATGTATGTTAAAATATTTGTAATTAGGCACATAGGTCAGATTAAGTTTTTTATTAAATAGAGTAACGCATGCAAGGGCTATCTGCCTAAAGAGAGAGATGCCATCGTGGAGGAATTTTGAAGAAGAAAAACTGACCTTTGAGTGGGTATTAAAAAATAATACTTATAATTTTCACTCAAATTATATTCATATATATTTTTTATGTAAAACTTTCGGGTCTATGCTAAATTAGTGTAAATTACTTTACACGAAAATATAGTGAATGCACAGAAATTAAAGATTTGCACATGCCGGAAATGATAAATAGGAAATATGTATGGGTATTTATGCATGTGCTTGCAAGAAGCATGTATCTGCCTTTGACAAAATACTTAATATTCATTAAATTATTTATAAATGTATTTGAAATGAAGAATTTATTCACTTATAAACAACTGTGAAAGTACTGTGAAGAAATCTAATGATTAAATGTATCTAATTTATAATGATTATAATGTTATCTAAATATATAATAACCTTAATATTGAATTGTAAACATAAATTGAAATCCTGTTGACAAATACGTTATAAAACTATTTAAGCAAGAATTCTTCGTATTGGAAAGCAATCTGTTAAAAGGTATTGTAAAGCAAATGCTATGAGATGCGCACTTAAGAACGTAATAAAGAGTTTTGGAATATGTATTGTTGAAATGAAGGGTAAACAAAAAAAAATCTGATAAGTATAATTAAAAGAATTATTCACTTTACATTTTATAATAACTCAGTTACAAGTTTTAAACAATACTTAAAAAAAAAAAAAAAAAACTTATTTTATTCCCTTTCAGAAATGTCAGAGAAAGTCAAATACTATTTAATTCCTAATAATTCTCTAATTTAAAATGAACCGAATAGAGCATTAATTATAAATTGACTTACATTTTTCGATTTAAAAGAAGCCCAAAAAATCATGTCATATTTAAGAAAGTATTTAAGAAGAAGCTCTATAAATAGAAAAGAAATAATGCATAATTTTAATATTAATAATACAAAACTTTGATCTTAATTTTTTGTACCTTAACCGAATAAAATCAAATTACCGTAATTTTTTTTTTCTAATTTAATTAACGAAAACTTGTGAAAATATTTCATTCAAATTAAACCATTCTGAGAAAACTGTCCTGTGAAAAGTACAGCATTTAATTCCGTTCAGAATGAAATGTTGTTTAAAAATATGTTGTTTTCACATACTTAGGATTCTGAAGTGTTGTAGAAAAGGAAAATATATACATTTATATGTATATTTACGACGTAATTACAAAATATTTACATCCGAACGCGTCAAATCCCATAGAACTCAATGGTAAATGACCCAATGTTTTGGTCACCACGTAGGGATCGCCGGTGCTTCAGAGCAGGGTACGGAGAAACTTGTTTAGGGCGACTCCATCTTACTTCCTACCTCCATGAAATATTCCCACACTCCGCAAGGAAACAAGAAAAAAATTCGCATAATTCCAAATACAAAAATTTTCCCGAAATGAATGTAATCAAAAACTGAGTATCGACGTATAAGACCCACCCCGTTTTTTCAGACCTATTTTCAAAGAAAAAAAGTGCATCTTTTACGCCAGCAAAGACGGTATGTTGTTACTAATTTTGTACATATATAAATAATCTGAGTGAAATTATACGTGAAATCGTCGTATTTTTCCCCCGTATGGACAGGAAAATTTAAGAGAAGATGCTTTGTTGGAAAAATAAGAATACATGGGTAAGTCTATTTAACACTGAGCAAATGGCTATCACGCTAAATTGACGAGATATCGCCAAGCTGACGATGGTTTTGGATATTTTTTGTCACCAAATTTGGCGAGAAATCTCCAAAGGTAGCCATACTTGGCGACCATTTAGAGACTTTTGGTTACGGTTCTTGTATCACTGTGAATTGGTATTGTAATTGAATAACTAACTGATTTCACATGCAACTGTAACCGTATTCGGCCCTCATATGCCTTTCAGTAATTTCTAGAAGTATTAGACATTTCGGGTGGAAACTATATAAGGCAGGAGGCAGCATTTGTATAAGGCATCTGCTCTCAGTTGTTAGTTGTTGTTTCAGCGTAGAATTTGGAGTACTGTGATATCTGTACTCTGTAATCTAGATTAGCTTCGCTCTTTAAATGTGTTCTGCTCTTTTACATTGTGTTCTGCTTAACGTTCTTAGTAGTTTGGATTGTAACTACTGACTGTTCTCTGTGATACTGTGAATAGTTCTACGACTGTTTTTGTGCAAAGTTCCAGAACTGTGAAGTTTTTCCTTTGGTAAAATAAATTTTATAAAGCTATTATCAATTCTGTGTGCATTCAATCTACTACGAACCTGTACGTACATAACAGTATTTCGTAGAGTGTCAACACTTGCCACATCATGTAAATAAGAAATATCTCAATAGTATAACGTAAAATAGTCGAGTGATTATATTACCGAGAAAGAATTACGCTATCACAAAAATGAAACACCATTTTTTCGAAATTTATTTTAGATTTGGTTATCCGAAAGCTTTTTTTAAACTATCTCAGTCTTCCAAGCAGTTTTCGAATACGCAAGTTAATGCATTGAACCTTCTCATGGTGACCATCTCCCTAAGATGAACACTTCTCAGAGGGATCCAAATATAAAAACATT